AAAAAAAAAAAAAAAAAAAAAAAAAAAAAAAAAAAAAAAAAAAAAACAGCCAGCAACAACCAACAAACAAACATATTACATTAGGTTCACAGATGACGGCTGTATTCGGCCATACCTACCTCAAGGCAGTAGCCAACTCGAACTGATCTCTCTCTCTATCTCTCTCTCTTTCTCTATCTCCAATAATCAGAATTAGTCTGAGTCTTGCCCTGTTTGGACCCATTAAAGAACATTTTTTAGGGGCAGCATTGGACAATGGGAAAAAAAAAACAAAAAACAAAAAAAAACAAAAGAAAAATTCCCCCCTTTCCGGACACGGGACCGGACATCTTGATCAGACTGGAGGCACATCCGGATCCAGGTCTGTGCTGGGACGGGCGTGGTCCTATATAAACCTACTAGTTTATCGAGAACATTATCGAACGATGATTCGTGGCGGAGAGCCGTATGATGGGAAACTATCACGTGCGATTCGGAGGGCGGGAAAACACAACTCCCGACCCCTATCTATGATAAGGGCGAAAGCCTGATCCAGCAATATCGCGTGAGTGAAGAAGGGGATTTATCTTGTAAAGCTCTTTCATCGGTAGTGAGAACAGCCTTGGATGTAGTGCCGATTTGAAGAACTGAACAACAACCCACAGAAAAAAACAAAAAAAAATCGAGTGACAAATCCAAACCGACAATGGATCAGGGCAGGAGCATTAGCAACAAACCTGGAACTGAAGCATCTCCAGATATCGCTGAAGCCTCTCTGCTCCGGCAAGTACCGCGCACCATCGGAACCACAAGTCGTAATCATAGAGGGCGTCAAATACCTGATAGAGCTCGCTGTCACATAATCCCACCTCGCCCTGTACGAAGCGGCACACAACAGACGACAGAGAGAACAGTCAGCATAGAAAAAGACGATTGCTTTGGAAACTTCCCATCAGGCTGTAAGGTTACACACCTATGAAAGCATCACTTGTGACAGAGGACACCCCAATTCCTGATCCTTGGTCATTTGAGCTCCAGAGAGGCCTTGCTCCCCTCCCCCTTCCCCACCCTCCCCCATCCCAACCTTGAGGCAGCATGCAACGTACGGAATCCCAACTTACGACCAACCTTCTGACATAATTTATATTATACGGTTTTTATACCTTCCGGTAAAGTTCCAGGGAAGGTGGTCCTACCTGCTACTGCTGAAAACTACCATCTTCACCCGAATAGAACGCCTGCTCATTATAGCTGAATTCGGTGCAATTTTCAGTCCAGATGCGGCGATAATTACCAGGCCTTCTATTCGGGTAAAGACGGTAGCTTCCCAAAAATAGATCATAAACACCTGTGCGGCTGCGACCATGTCCAATTGTGATCCTTCCCCTAACACATCCAGACCCGCTCCATAAAAGCCGCCGTCGTTTCGAAGCGGCAAACAACAGGATTGACCACTTGGCCTTGCTTCATTTCTGCTCCACCGTTAAGAACATGAGAATGTGATGCGTCATATATATAAAAAAAAGAAAGAAAGAAAGAAAGAAAGAAAGAAAGAGTCTTTCCTTGAGAATATAAAGAAGTAAGACCTGACTTTATCGTCTCCAACAGGATTCGAACTGCCAATCTGTTGTCTAATAGATAAACAGTTACATGTGGCGCACCGTTCAGCCAGGAGAACGGTACTGCATACTGAAAGCACTTCGAATCGCGGAAAGGGCACAATCACAACAAAACGAATCGACCGATGGTAAGAAAAAGAGGGGACTCTTCCGGTAGCAGCACAGTACTGTTTATTAGGTTTTAACTTTTAAGAATTTTAGAATAGTAGAGAAGGGGTGAGGTTCAGACTTCGCAGGATAACTTTTTCCTTTTTCTTACCCCTGTTGCAGTTTTCTTTGGGAGATTGTGCATAAGGGACGCTGGAACCGGTTTCCAGCACGAGCCTTATCTGGGTTGTGGCCCCAGGCTTGACGTGGGATTCCCAGGCAAAGAATTATTCGTAATAAATTACTAATAATACTAATAAAGACGACTTCCTTTCCAAAAATTGAAAAAAAAAAAAAAAAAAAAAAAAAAAAGAGGGGCAATGAACCAGACGGTTTGCAATCCCCAATAGCA